CATTGTCATTATCTACAATAACGCACGGTGTGTATTTATCATCTTCTGTAGGTTGATCTGGTAGAATTTCGTCGACCCCTTCATCAAACTCAAATATATTTTCTTCTAGTTCATTATTAAGGTCGTAATCTTCATTTTCATTACAACTATTTTGCTGCAAAATTTTGTTCCTAACATCTTGATATGTATCATTGTCGAAATTAAGAATAGAAAAGTTTTCTATTTCATCTGCAGATTCACTATCAGAATTGCTAGAGTACAGATCAAAGTGGCTATTACTATAATTAATGTTTTTCATAATTGTATATTCGATTATAGTGTAAATATTTAACGATGCGAAGGTTTATTATTAGGATTTGTAATACTGGTTTAAGACTTGTAAGCGAATATGTTGATAAATTTATTAACGTTAAATTATTAAATTTAATTTTATTAAAAATACAAAAAAAAATTTTTTTAAAAAAACTTCTACATATATATATCTATTTTTTTTTTTATTATTACATTCATATTTATTTATTTATGAAAGACATTTTTACATCATTGTACATATGCATTATATTACATGATATTTTTAATCACTCAATTATCAATCACACAATCGCTCAATTACCCAATCACCCAATTCTTCAATCATCCAATTGTTCAATCGCCCAACTATCTAATTGCTCAATCATCTAATTACCTAATCGTTCAATCACCTAATTGCTTAGTTACCCAATCGTTCAATCACCCAATTGCTTAGTTACTCAATTGTTAATAATATCGCGCATTATTAATCAACAATCTCAATTATTACAATACAATTTGGTCCACCAAATTACCCAATCGCCCAATTTCTCAATTACCCAATGGCTCAATCATTCAATCGTCAATCACTTTATCATTCAATGACTTGATTATTATCATGTGCACCTATTAAATAATAAAAAAAATAAATAAAATAAATTTATTATTATAAATTTATATAATACACTCAATCAACAAAATAAAAAACAAAAAAATAAAAAAGCCAATAATGGCATATAAATAAATTTGATCCATAGCGTTGAGTCATAGAATTCTATTATATTATGGCGCAGCGTTGACACTAAAAGTAAAATTAATAATGTTACTGGAAACTTTACTATTACAGAATCCCGCTGTAAAGCTAGAGATTCCCACTGGAAACCAAAATCGCAAATACTGATATTACGAGTAAGTGACAAGGTTCAGGTATAAGAATCGTGATGAAAATTTGTAGGTGATTAGGAAATTCAACTCGACTGATCTGAAAAAAAATAAGCATTAGTAAAAATAAAAAAAATAACGATAAATAAAATTATTTTTGAAATTCTTAATTAAGTTTGCAATCGAATAATCAAGCCAGATTTATTAGTTTCAGCCGAAAGCGTAACTTCAACTTGTTGAAAGCATTATACGATCCGAATTCCTCTTATAAAATCACTACTTGGTTATGATTCTAACTTTGCTTCGTTCATGTTTACAGTTTTTAAACTTGTGTCAAGTAATATTTATATTTTAGCAAAGTCAAATTAGTTCTGGTTAGCAACGTTGGTCAAATTAAGCTTAAATCATATTAGAGCACAAAATCAATTTTTACCTAACTTTACAGGCGAGATTCTTTATTTTCGGTGCTATAAACGGTATTCAAAAACGTTTATTAGATAGTTTTTATATGTCTTTGTACGATATTAGTTTGTTCTTTGCTTGGAAGTATCTTTATGCGCGTAAAAGACAACTGCAAAGTAAGTGATTTCATCAATTTTATATGAAAATAGAATTTTATCATATGATGTAGATCATTTTAAATTCTATATTAAAATCACCTCTTTCGATAATCATGTGACAAATCGTGTGCCTGATAAGATTTTCTACAAAGCAATAAAAAAAGAAGAAGATCTAGTTAACTGCATTATAAAGAAAGAAATAGTTGATTATATAGTAGAACTAAGAATAGCAAATGGAGTATGAAGAGTACTAAAAGATAGGAAAAAAACAAGATGCTGAAATAAAGTTAAAACTAGAATTAGACTGGAGCAAGAGACTTCAAGAACAAAGAAAAAATTAACAAAAGCAGTATAACAAACAACTCTGAAGTCTATAGTACAGCAATTTAAAGAATTTGTCAAGTCTACTGCAATAAACCAGCAAGAAATAAAAAGAAAAGTCAAAGAAGAAAAAAAAAAGATGCAAGTCTAACAAAAGAGAAATCAAGTTACAAAAAATATAATCAAGAAGCAAGCTTAGCAAGAAGAAAAACAAACTGCTAAAATAAAAACAAAATTGAACCTAGACTAGAGCAAAAGACTTCAAGAACAAAGAAAAACTTGTCAAAAACAGTATAACAAAATGGCACTAAAGTCTTTAATATTACAGTTTATAATATTTATTAAATCTGCTGCAGCAAAATATAAACAAGGAAAAAGGGAAATTAAAGAAGAAAAAAAGAAGAAAAGCAAGAGACAAACATTCCAGATCTGACAGAAGTGAAATTATCAAACAAGATTCAAAAAGAAACAAATCTAAAAATTTTATTATCAACCCAGTAGAATGATTAATAGAGGTAATATATCTAGCAAGTATTAAAAACTCACAGCTCGATAATAAAATATAGAAAAAGAAGAAAAAAGATCTGTTTACAAAATAGATATATGGTTTGAAGACTCAATAGAATTTGAATCTAAATTTGTCTCAAGAAACATTAGCACCCAATAGAGTTAGTACTTGAATCCGAATATATATTTATATCTGGATTAATCTGAATTTTAAATAAATCTGGATTTAATTTTTTAAATTTTTGTATTCAAATATAATATAAATTCAGATTTAATATATAAATCCAAATAGAAAATAAATCCAGATAGAAAATAAATTCAGATAGAAAATAAATTCTGGATAGAAAATAAATCTGGATAGAAGTAGATAATAAATCCACATTGTATAAAAAAAATTAGGTAGTATATACATAATATAAATAAAAGGATTGTATGATTTGCTAATAAACTCCTATATATTTACATTTCATTTTCTTGTTTATATAAATTATTAAATGAGAATTGATTTCAAAAAGAAACTTGTTTAAGGCCTAATAATTTTTATACAATCGTCTCCACCTTTTTGAATTGTATAATATATGTATATGTTAAAATTTATTGATTTAGAATGTTCTGAATAATGATAATGTTGGGAGCTTAAAAATTAAATCATTGTTAACACATTAATGTGTTAGATAGCACTTTAATGTGCTAAGTCTTGCGTTAATGTATAGGATAATAATAATTAATATATATAAAGCAGTATTTTTGATCTTAATAAAAACAGGAAGCTAGTATAGAGCTGAAAAGACCTATATTCTAATAAAATCGAAACATATCTCTTATTTATAAAGCTTCGCATTTCTTTGCTTTTATTACTACAACTTTGGTAAGATTTGTATAAAAACTTTATTTTCAAATTTTTTGTCTTTGTATAATCTTACTTTCTATCTCTTTTACCTTTATATTATGTATTTCTATCTGTAACTATTAAAGATAAATCACCCTGCTTAGATAAACTCTTAAATAAGCATGTGAACAATAACTGAGTATCAATTGTATACTGGCCAATACAAATTTCGAAAACCATAACAAGATCAGCATCATTAAGTTTAGGTATAACTTTCTATTAGCTTCCAGATTCAGTAATTATAAGATAACCACTAACTCCCAAACAAGTATATGCAATATGTAATATAGCGTATTTAATATCCAAATGAATTGTCATTTGCAACCCTGTACTACATTCCTAAGAAGCACTTTCCATAACAACACCACTTAATTCAATCAAAAAAACAAGCATTAAATCAAATCTTCTCAGCATATTAGACAAAAATAGTTTGAATCCTGTCTTTTTATAGAAATTGCTTATTTCATTTGTTGGCCGGCCCTTGTTATGC